TATCATTATAATATCGAATAACGTCACAAGTTTAATTACTTGGGCGTAATAAGATTGATATCCTCGTCGTCTAACCACTGAACAAGTCTCATGACATCCTGAGGATCATCAGGCGAATCGTAACAACGTTCACCGAGTTCCTTTTGATCGACGTGACAGAAGGCCGTGCTTAAATGGACTAAGGACACTAGATGCTTCATTCGTTTTGCCAAGTCCAATAATTTTTTTGTACCTGTCTTAAAGGTTATTAGAACTTTATGTATTTAAATATCATGTAAATTTTGAAGTATTATACGCATTACAGAATTATAGGTTTAAAAGATATATGATACAATTTATAGTTACAAATTTATTATAGCTATTATGTTGTCTCAACTTAAGAGCTCGACATTGTCTCATTGATTTTTTTCATTTCATATGTAAAATGTACATAATGAACATAAATATGAGGTTTAATGATAATTATATAGTACCCCGATAGGATAATGTTTATTAAATTATATGATAAAATCTTGCAGCATAAAATTTATAATCTGCGATTATCAAGTATATGTATATACAAGTGTATGTATATTTACAAAACATGCGAAAATTCTGATTTTTTTCTAAAATATTAATAACTGTTTTCTCAATTAATTTCAACATAGTATTTTGGCAAAATAATAACGATACGGCGAATCATTTCAATGAGGTAACTATTAATGTGCCTATTAGCTATTTTGTTTATTAAATTAATTATTAAATATTAGCTTTAATTTTATCTGCTTGCAATCAATATCGGTTTTTCAACTATTTCTTTTTTTAATAATATTTCTTTAATCTAAAAAAATGTTAATAATGTTTTATAATATTTTTAATAAAAATAAAAAATATGTTTTTGTCCCTATTAGTGAGTCCTCCAGTGGCGATAGCCCTATTAATATGTCCCCAATTTGTGTGCCTATCCACATTGACTCTTTTTAATATGTAGTTACTAAAACAGATAATAAATTTAAGCTAATTGTTTAAGTTAATATTACATAAATCATTATTTCAATTATATTTATTTTAAAGTATTATAATACAACATTCTCCAGCTCCAATACAGGGCACATTAATAGAGACAAGCAGTAAAATCTTGCGGTATGTATTATTGGATTTACATAAATTCCTCATATCTTTCGAAAAATATTTAAAATACTTAATATTTTAATACTTAAAAAATAAAATATTACTTTTAATATCGCATGCATTAATAATGTAATAACTTAACAAAAAAGAATATTTCTTCTTATTTATTTGTGCTAGTTTTCTTTATGACTTATCGAAATAAAAAAGCACACTAACAGAGACAGTCACAGTAATTGGAACAGTTACCTTAGCATATTGAAATTTAATTTCGAAAGAAATTGTTTAATAATTGAGAAAAAATTTTAACTATATTTTAGAAATATGTATATGTAATTGTGCTGCTAAAAATGTATTTATTAATGTAATTATTCCTAAATTTAATATAGAAATATTACAACATGAAGTATTATACATTCAATATGGATAAGTTAAAAATTTTAAAGTCAAACGGCTTTTGGAATGCATATATGATCTGATCTTCCGGAAGCGTTTATCATTTGAAAATAATCGGATGACATATCTTGAGATCTATTTCTTTAATATACAATACGGAGTCTTATTCATTATATTCTTAAAGAAAAGTAAATTAAAATTTATACTTCAAATTAGATTTATCTAATTTTTTTACAAGTATCGTTTAGAAATTTTATTACGATAAAATTATTACGTTATAATGAATTGTTTTAGTGCAATTATTACAAAATTGTCATCAGTTCATGATGCCATTTCTGTGCAATGTTTTCACAACTTGCCTATCGGGGTAATTGATAGCTATGCGTAACATATTAACAACAATCAGTAACAAATAAGCACATAGAAGTCTGAAAATAGAAGTTGATTGCAAATAGAGGTCTGAAAATAGAAATTGATTGAGATTCCAGTTAATATTTTACCGTGTTCATCTCGATGGCATCTTTCAATTTCGCCTCCAATCGAAGTGTCGCAGCGAAATGAAATACGATGTGTACTTCATTTATTAAAAGCTCGCACTGTTGATTGGTAAGGCCTAAATTAGGCAAACATACATCGCCAGATATCGGTATCACTTTTTTAAAAAGGTAAGGTTTCTCATTCCGAATTCTTTGAAATACCTATAAAAATATCAATTATTAGTAATTATTAATTTTTTGCACGTATATATATATATATATCCTTTTATTGCACATTTGACTTTTAAGTCACATTCTAGTTTAGAAAAAAAAATCTTGTCTCTTATTTAAATTTCCCTTATTTAAATCTCTTATTTAGATTTCTAAATTAATTTTTGTAATATGTTCGAAATTCATATTACTTCATATCACGCGTATAAGTAAATCCTTATAATAACAACAATTTTCTTTGAAATAAAAATTTTGTAAAAATTGGAATAGATATTAACAACAAAATCTCAAAATAAAATATATATGATAAAATACTTTATTCAATTATGCATATATTTTTGCGACGCAGTTCTCTATTTAAAATTTGCCAATATTTTTTTTAATTAACATTAATTAGCAATAAAAAATATGAATAACAAAAAATAAAAATTAATTAAAATAATTAAATCTAAAGAGATGTAAAGATTTCTCATTATTCGTAAGAATTTAAAATACTGTATTTTGTGTCATGATGAAAGAAGGCAAGATGAAACAATTTGAAGGAATAATGAACTTATTCGATATTGTAGAATGTTAGTCATTACGATCTTATATAAAAAAAAGAGAATAACATAAATCACGATAACATAATCTTGTGATTCCTTACAGGCAACTTGAACATTTCGTCAAGTCGAGTTTCAATATTGCGGCCTTTCTTGCTTCGTATGAGAATGTAGATCTTGTTGAGATTGGAGCAGGTAAACAGCAATTTCTCTAAGAGAACTTTACCCATGAAACCGGAAGCGCCGGTAATAAAAATGGTCTTATCTTTGTAAAAGGATATAATTTCGGATTTTGCTATTTTTTCTTCCATGGCTGTGAACTGTAATGGCATGAAAATTTTAATATATTGAGATGTTGATAATCAAGATTGACATGGATGAATAAGGAGAGAGAGAGAAAGAGAGAGAGAGAGAGAGAGAGAGAGAGAGAGAGAGAGAGAGAGAAAGGAGAGCAACAAGCACGTTATTATTAAAACGTGTAAATTATGTAAAATTCAATTTACAATGTAATCTTTATACCATTTATATTGCGAGTTTCATAACTAAGCGAAATACACATTTTCTCTATGATTATGTCTCACTCTTTCTCATCTACATAGATACATTTCGCAAATTAGCGGTTTGTTATTTTACCGCATCACTTTTCTGCAAGAGTCTTGCATTAACTTTGTATATTCGATCAAATAAGAATCGCGGAAAGAAAAGAGAAAATTGGTGAAAGGTTGATCAATCGTACTCAAATAATTGCAACTCCATGGTCTGATTTCGAGCTGCGTTGCATTTCTCCATACTAATAGGAAAATTCGCGAATTTATGTAGTAATTATTGAATTTTTTAATTGAAGAAACTGTAAAAGGATTTTAATATCATAGAAACATGCGTTAAATCGCATGTTTTTATAAAATTAAAAGTCGTCAACCCACTCTATATCATAAATTTTTTTATGTTCCTATGACTTACGATAATTGAAACGTCTTTGCAATCAACTTTGTGGCTACTCAATCATAAAAAAAATTTAAAGAGAATATTAAAATATTTAAGGCGTAAAAGATTATGAAATTTGGATAATTTTTTAAAGAAATTGAATTTATAACGGAATAACTATCTTTTCGAAGAAATTAAGATTTAGAACGAATGTATTTATTATTATTTAGGTTGTAAATATTTAAAACGAATATATTTGTCAAAACATAGATTTTGTAATACAAAATAAATTTAGCAAACAAATTTTATGATTATATTAATTATTTAATTATACAATGTATAATTAATACATTGTAATTAAATATAATATTGTATATAGTACATTACACGATGTATTAATTGTGTACTGTAATATACATATTTATATTGTACAAATTTATACCCAGAAATAAATTAAAAATTTTCAGATTTTCAAAGACTAATACAATATTAAATTGAATATATAACAACATTAAACATGAATATGTAAATATATACTTAACTTTTGTCATAAATTATACAAAATATCACATATCACATAACACTTTTTATTGTTACTTGTAAAGCACATTTAAAATTTTTATTTAAAAAAATGATATATATTTTATATTTTTTAATTTAACAAAGAAACAAATTATTTATTCCTTTTTTAATATATTTTAAATATGCGTATATTTATTAATTTGTTAAGTACAGTTAAAAATAAACTTCACAAAGGGAAATAACTCAAATAACATATAATGATAGTTTTGTTTGTTTTCGTCACAGTCGGATCTAAAGTTGCTAAGAAGGAGAAAATATTTGCTGACTGTAGTTATTACGATTGGATCCAATTTCAAAATTGCTAATAAGGAGAAAATATTTGCTGACTATAACACAAACTATAACTACAGCACCTGTCAAATTGGCTTATTCATAAATTGTAAAATCATGATTGGCTAATTTTGCGATCAATATATAGATCATCATATAAAGATATCAAGTCCACGTTTCATTTTTGTACTCGTTATCGCTTATGCTTTCACATGAATTAGCCCGAATGACAGGACGCCAATAAAATAAAATCGTTATTTGCTTTACAAATGATAACTTTTTCTAAAACAGTTTCTCATAATAAAGATTTTTATATTGAATGAAGAGTTTACAATAGATAGAGATTCACGATCAATGACATAAAACAAATTCAGTTCTGAATTTATTAATATTTTGAACATCGAGTTGATTTTAAGACATCATCTTATAATAAATCTAGTATATAAATATCTTAATATAATTATTTTTATGAATATACTTTATTATTATTGAATATATCTTAAATATTTAATAAAATTTCTTTCAATCGGGTACATAAAACTCACAAATGAGTAAAGGGGTTTTTGTGGAAATTTATGCATCACTCGGATCTGACATGGCAATTAAAATATATAATATGTACAAAATGTATATATAATATGTTTGTTTCTTCTCCAAAGTAATTAAGATAATAAGTAGATGTAAAATTAAGAGAAATATTGAAATCTACTAAAAAATCTGTTTAATTTAATTCAATTCAATGTTTTTCTCAGCTAAGATAATAT